ATACAGACACACACATATATACATATGTATTACACCTGTAAGGATACACAAATCCCTGGGACAGGGATTTACATGTAACATGAAAGGAATTTTATTTTTTCTATCCATAAAAACAGGGGGGGGATTTTTTGATAACGTTCCACCTGTAGCTTGCCAGCAAAACTTTTGGTCAAAGGTTGGATTCAGTGGTTTTAGAATTCTTTTCCAACCTTAATGATTCTGTGCTTGCCACCAGGAAAAGCTCTTTGGGCCCTCTAGAATATCCAAGGCAGGAAAGGGAGACAAGGAGTCGTTTCCTCTGGAACATCTGAGCTGGCTTTAAAATCCAAAACATGATGTGTGAGGTTAAATGCCCCCCACATACACACACAGTTCCACTGGAATGGCAACCAGGGACAGGGCTGGGTGCTTCTCCCAAGATCCTGCTTGGGAATGCCCACAGCTTCTCTGGGCAACCTGTGCCAGGGCCTCCCCACTGGAACAGGATGCTCCCTTTGACTACTTCTGCACTATATATTCCCTTTGAATACATTTTACCAGCATCAAAGGTAAGAAAAGTACAGTAAAAAAAGAACTAGGTCTGATATTTTTCTAATAGAGCAATTTCCCATCATATTGAAAGCATAAAGATATGCTCCTATTATATAAAGCTGGAAACAACATTGAAAAATATTGAAGAGCTTAAGGCAGTTTTGGAATAGGAAAACACAGAGGATAAAGGCAGTCACTCTGTAAGTATTTTTTAAAATACATTCTTGTAACAGCTGAATGTATTTTTAGCAGAAATTGAAAAAAACCTGCAGTAATTTCTTCGATCTGAGGGGCAATCTGCACACAGCTGACATCACTGCAAATAAAAACCTCCCATATGACACTTAACCAATGCCCACCATGCCCTGACAGCTCAGGATCTTCCAGACCTTCATCAACATCGTTCCAGTGATGGACAGGACAACAAATGGGGCAAGAAAGGCAAGTTTTGACCTAAGTTTCACCCACGGTTTGGTCATCAGTGCAACCTGGAGAAGTGCTACAGTAACTCAGGAGCTCCTGCCTCCAATGGGAAAGGCCACTGAATTCCATCAGAAACTTCTAAACAACCTCCCTGTACAAAATTCACCACAAGAACTGCCAGAGCTTTAAAAAACACCTCCAAAAAGTACCATTAAAACGTGCAGTACATCTCTTCTCTCTATTAAAACTGCAGCTCCAAATCAACGATTCCAAAGCTTTTTATTAGATCATAAAAAAACTTCAGGCCAGCTCATAATGAAATCTCTAATCAAATATGAATGAATCATCTGATACGACACAGCCCCTTGAATGAAAAACAGATGGAAAAGTAGTGATGGCTGAGTGGTTTAAATCACAAGAAGTTAAGCCAAAGGAGCAGATATTTAATCACAGAATCATGGAATGCTTTGGGTTGGAAGTGACCTTAAAGTCCATCTCATTCCATGGGCAGGGACACCTTCCACAAGCTCAGGGTGCTCCAAGCCCTGTCCAACCTCGAACATTTCCAGGAATGGGGAGTCCCCTTCCCTGGGGAATGAGGGAATGTGTCTTTAATGAATCATCAGCAATTCCCCAGGGAAGCACCTGGAGTCTGCTCCGGTATTTCAGGCATTGTTGCACAAGTGATTCACCTGATATTCCCTCCACTGGCCAAAGAAAAAGCAGAGCCAAATATAGCCCTGAAAATCAATATACACCAGGGAAGAGCCTCTGAGATCTTGCTAAAGGCAGCTCCGGGAGAAGAGGAATTCCTAAAATCCTTGGAAGGCAGGTGCTGCTCTTTCCCCTTTGGAGATAAACCACCCCCCAATTAATTTGGGCAGAAAGCCCCCTGGGGAGCAAAGCAGGGCATGAAAAGGGAAGGAGGACCAAAGGAACAGTCCATGCTCCTCCTCCAGCTCACATCCATCCGTCAGGACAAGCTGGTGGGAAAGAGGAGTGGAGCCCAGGCTGTCAGACCCTGCAATCCCAGAGCTCCTCCTTTCTGGCTTCCCTTGAAAAAGTACCAGCATCAAAAATCAAATCAGAACTAAACAACAAAGATCTCACCTTGGTTACCTCCCTAAGGCTGCAAATCCAGGTGAAATACCCGGAGTGGGAACCCACCTGGCAGACAAGACACGGCACAGGCACCTCCAAGATCACCTCTGATTTTTTCCCCAAGAAACCCCTCAATCCATGACCCAACTTTCCATGAAAAATGTATCCCTTTTCATTCATCTCACAGCACTGTTATTTTTAGCAAAGCCAGAAGCAATGGGATCAAATTCCTGATTAACCCTTCTCGGGAGTCTTTCCATGCCTGCTCCCATCCTGACACCTCCTCCTTCCCTAGGCACTCACTGAGTTCAAGCACTCCAAGGCTCTTCCCTCCACCACCTGCTTTTATACAAACACAAAACAACCCTTCCTTTGGCAGGGAATTGGTGAGAACCATTAATTTGGAAAATAACACTTTGGTGAACAGTCAGGATAAAGCAATCCCGTGAAACCCAGAGCTGATCAGATGAACTAATGGACTAAAGGAATCCTGTGAAACTCAGAGCTGATCAGTGGGAATTAATGAACTAAATAAGGTGAGGGAAGAATAAAGAAAATTAGCAAGTTGGGGCTTGCAATAGAGCAAACTTTCCTGCCAGTTCCTTCTCATCCAGGAGCAGCTCTGCATCCAAGAGCTGCAGGCTGAAGCGCTGCTTTCAGCTGCTGAAAGAGGAATAAGTTGTTAATAATTCATCCCACCCCCTGCAATTAATAACCATTTCCTTGTGGGTAAGAAAGGAGGAGCTGGATAAATATTTTTCCTGAGACAAAGGACAACAAAGCAAAGTTGAGGAGCTGTGGGCTCCTGCTCTTCCCACCCCACAGGATGAGGATATCCACATTCTGGGTTCCAGCTCTGGCATAACAGACAGATGCCCAGGGAAGCTGTGGCTGCCCCTGGATCCCTGGAAGTGTCCAAGGCCAGGTTGGACAGGGCTTGGAGCAACCTGGGATAGTGGAAGGTGTCCCTGCCCAGGGCATGGGTGGAACTGGTGGCTCTAAACTACATTAATCGGTAGTTTTTCTTTTATCCTGGAATCCCAGAATGGTTTGGGTTGGAAGGACCTTAAAGCTCATCTTCTCCCACCCCTGCCATGGGCAGGGACACCTTCCACCAGCCCAGGTTGCTCCAACCTGGCCTTGGACACTCCCAGGGATGGGGCAGCCACAGCTTCTCTGGGCAGCCTGTGCCAGGGCCTGCCCACTCTGAGTTAAAAAGAAAGAATTAAGGAAAACAACTGTGCTCAATAATTTAAATTACAACTGAACTTCAATTCCACTCAAGCCTGTTCACTCCTAAAAGCATTTCACAAAACTGCCCGAAATGTTCCTTTTTTTGTGAAATGCTCTGCAGGATGGAGGATTTTTAGGACTTTCTCACCATTTCACATCAGAGGAGAACAACTAACAAGGGTCAAACCTCTCCTTCACTTGGTTGGTGGTGAGGAGAAAACCATTTTGGTTTCCTAGAATCACACCCCAGTGATTTTATCTCACACCCAAATGCAGGATAAAAGCCCAGAGACCACTCCAGTTCATTCAACTCCACCCTGCCCAGGGCAGAGAACATTTTAAACTAAATCTCCCAGGACACAATCAAACCATTTTTTTTCCTTAAGCCGTTTTCCAACATCATCATTTCAGCCATGCCTGAGACTTGGGACGCACACAACTCCAAATCCCACACATAACTTGCTTTTCCAGAGCAGAATCCCAGAATGGTTTGGGTTGGAAGGGACCCCAAGGACCCTTGTGTGGAGCCACGGAATTAACCCGGCACAAAGATCCCAAGCGGGGAGACAAACCTGTCAGCTGACCTGTGTTACCACAGCCATTCAAAACCAGGAATCTCTGAGGGCTGGGAAAACAGAACCTCCCTTACCTGCTGGACACGTTTGGGAGCACATGGAGGGGAGGGAGATTCCTCTCAATCCGAATCCAAACGCTGGTCAACAACCAGCTCTTCCTTTTTTCCCCCCAGTGCTCGACCTTCTTAAAAGATTCCTTCCCCAGACATGCACTGAAGTCCACAAAACTCCAGGTTAGGTCACAGCCCATTCCCCCCTGCTCCCCCCAATCTACTGAAGTTGTTTTGAATAAACCTCGTTTACATCTTTCCAACTGGCACCACCAGAAAGGCTCAGATCTCCTGCGAGATCTTTTCCTTAATACAAGAGGCCCTGGAGGCATTTTGGAAGGCAACAGAGAAGGGAAAGTTGGGCTTTTGGAAGATTTGAGCTGCTACCTGCAAAGCACAGAGTGTTTTCTACCTCCTGGTATAAATATCTCTGTTTGCACCTGGAAACAAAATGCTTTGGGAAGAGAGAAGAGGGGAAGCACAAACACCAGCAGCAGACTGTTTTCCACAGAATTCCAGGAGTTGGGAGCAGAACTTTGGTTCCCATCCCCTGAAGAGCTGCTGCTGTGAGCAGCAGCCAGGCTCCAGGATGGGCACCAGAAGGACAAGACCCAGGAGGGGCCGTGGCAGGATCATGGGAAGAGGGAGAAGAGTAAACAGCCCAGAGAGCCCCTTTGATCAGCCCAGCCTCGGCCCCTCTTTCCACACAAGATTCCTCCTTAATAAAAACAGCAGCCCAAGAACCTCCCTGGCTTCCCAGTGCTCCCTTTGGGCTGGGAAAGGACTCCTGAGGGTGCTGCTTCGCTCTCCTGCCCTCTCCTCTCTAAGGCAAACCAGGCAGCTCCCACCCGGCTGGGCTCTCCTCATCCCCCTGCCTTTCACTGAAGACTCCCAAGGCTGCTGTTGTGCCCCATTCCCAAATCCCACTCTCCCAGCCTGGGAAAGCAGAGGTGTGCAAGTCCTAACAGACTTTGTGCCAGCATTTGGCATTTGCATCCCGCTCTCCCACTTGCAAGGCAGAGCTGCAGGAGGTTCTCCTGCACCCCCGAGCAGGAAGGAGGCTTAAGAAGAAGAAGTCCTCCCTTACCAGAGCTGGGCATGTGGTTCACTCGAGGTGGATTCAGCAGCTCCACTGGCTGGTCTCTGCCAGAAAGCCCATCTGGAAAGAGGAAAAGGAATAAAATCACATCAACACTTTGGGCAGCTGAGCTATTTTTAGCCAGGGAAAAAAAAATTTTAAAAAAAATCAGTAACCAATTATCAATGCAGAGCAGAAACACAAGGAGCACAAATCAATGGAAATGAGAACATTCCCAGGACAGCTGGAGCAGAAAATAAAAGAGACTGTATCCCAAATTACGCTCAGGTTTTCCCAGCCTTTCAGTCCACAACTGGTACTGCTCCCAGTCCAAGGGAACAGGCATGGCAGCTTAGAAACCTTACCAGAGAATGACTAAATGGCAGTTCCTTCCTTGCTGGGAGAGCTGAGCTGCCACAGAGATGCAGCCCCACGAAGCAAAGTTGAAGAATGGCTGGAATATGCCAGGGAGATGTTAAGGAAAACTGACAAATCACTGCAGGAGATTAAAATGCAGAGACATGCATAACAAGCCCCATTTTGCATAAGTTTGGATTTCAGAAAGGCATTAAAAACATACTTTGTAAATGAGATGCACAAATCCATCTTGCTGAAGCAGTTCCCTATTTAAAGTATTTCCAAGATTGTATCTTGCAGCCAGGTAGAGTCAAACAGAACCAGAGCCGGTGCTGGAGACTGCCAGACCTGATTTTCTACTCAGCCATTCCCTTCCCAGCTGCATCCCCCACTCCCTTCCAATAAAAGTTGAAGCAAAACGTGCTAAATGATGTTTTTGGTGTAATTATGAATATGTGAACACAGAGAATTTATCTCAACCCTATTTGTTCCCGTCTGTCTCCCTTTTCCCCTCTAACCCCCTTCCTGTGCTGCAGCTCTGATAGGATCAAGCCAAACCCTGTCTGGAGACATCAAAGAAGCCACCCCATCTCTCTCAGGCAAAGGACAGAGTTAGAAAAATGTGAAGACTCGTCTCCTTCTCCCTCTTTCCCCCTTTTTTGTGGAGATAAAGCACAGCTGGGACTTCTCCTGGGTTCACCATCCCCGAGGTGCAGCCTCAGGCGACGTGTCAATAAATTAAATTCTGACCCTGCTTGTTTTCCTCCCCTCAACCAGGTCCTATGGATTATTCACATATAACATGGGGAGGGGGGGTTTGCTTTGTTACTCCAGGGCTGGATGTGCTGGAATAGCCGAGCTTTGGCACTGGGGGGGCGATGCTTGGCCAGCTGGGCTTCACCTGCACCAACAGCAGAGAACAGCAGCAAGTGAGGAGAAAACCAGACTGAAAGGCAGAGCAAAACCTCACTATTTTAAATACAACCCATCCACCAGCTGCTCCAGATTCAGTGGGCAGCACAGCCCTGGGAACCTCCCAGTTTTTGGGGAGCAGAATTATTTTCAGCTTCTCTGCTGAGGCTGAAGGACCCAAGCCAGGTGCCCTGGGAGGCAGATCCAAGTCAGTTTGGGGGATTTTGAAGCCTTGTTTAATTCTAAAAAACAAAGTGCCTGCATTTCTCAAATAATCAAGAAAAACAGAGAAACCCACAAACCAACACAGTTCAATCTTGGTTTCGAAATGCATAACAGATTAAGATTAATCACAGAAGAAAATGAACAATATCTGACACCTGAAACACCAAAGGGTGTCAGGACTGCGTTTCTGGATTTGCTGTATTGGGGGATTAACAAATAAATCTCTTTTGGAGGAAAAAACAAACAAACAAAGAAACAAGGAGGTGCTTTATCAGGAAATATTTGTATAAGGCCCCTCCTCTCCTGAAGTACTGCTGTGGATAAAATGAGGTTAAAATGCCCCTCTACCCTGTCCTTGTGAGACCCCACCCAGCTCTGGAGTTCCCAGCACAGGAAGGACATGGAGCTGCTGGAGAGTCCAGAGGCGGCCCCAGAGCTGCTCCAGGGCTGGAGCAACCCCTGCTCTGGAGCCAGGCTGCTTTGACTGATTCCTCCTCTCAAACAGATCATCTAAACCTTGTCAAACTTTAAAGAATTATCTGCTAAAAACTTCAAGAAGTGCCCACTGGAAGATGGGGAAGTTGGAGTCCTGGGCTGTGGTTCTGTGCTTTATTGCACTTTAAAAGGGAAACAAACCTCCCTTTTTTTTTATATTCAACCCAGTTGCTTCCAGGCCCTGTTGCACCATCACACTGAAGATAAACTTGGACACAAGCTCAAGAAGAGCGTTTTCAGCCACTGCTGCTCTGGGGTTTCCTGCCATCATCACTGGAGGTGCTTCTGCACTTCCCAAAAGGTGGGCAGGCACGGGAAGCAACCTGGAGTGCCACCATGGCCAGGCAAGCCAGAGCAAAGGGCTCAAACCACACGGGGTTTGACCCTCTCAGGAGCCACAAACCCTGCTTGGAACACTGACACAAACCACAGCAACTACAAAACACCCCTGAGCTCTCTACTGCCCAAATCTGTCCCAAGCTACTAAAAATCACTGGCAAGGAAACATCTCCTGAGCTGGCTCTGTCTGATGATCTCCCAAAAACTCTGCAACAACCTGCTCTGTCCATCGAACCTGGAGGGAAGCAAACAGCACCCTGAGAACAATTAGTGCAGCTTAATTTCCAGATGGGTATTTCTACTCACTAATTAATCAGATGAAGCCATAATTCACTGATGGAAACTTGAACACTTTTGTTTTTCTCTTAATCTGTCCCAGGGAGTTATTTAAGAATACAGGTTTGGAGGCACAGCTGGGCTTGCAGGGTTTAAAGCCATTGAAAGTAGTTAAACAAAGGCAAAACAGTGACAGCTCACTCCAGAACAAACCAGAAACATGATGGATAAAAACCATCAGGAAAGATGAAGCATCAAAATCAACAACATCACAAAACCAGAGAAGCATTAAGGTTGGAAAAAAATTGTCAAGTCCACCCAGGGTAAATCCAGAGCAGACAAAGACAGGGGAAATACAACTTAACCAGTTGTATTAATTTAATAAATAAATAAATAAATAAATGAGACAAACTAGTTGTAAAAACAAACAAAAAAAAGACAAATAATAAACAAAAAGAGAAGGCTGAAGCATTTTTGCTTGCAGAAACCTGGAAGCAGCCTTGCTGTAATTATGAGTTTAAAAATGCAGGGCAGAACTGGGAACCAAGAGGTCATTTGAATAGTTTTCCATGTATTCAGATCTTTGGATCCGATGCAAATCACCCTGGCCTACTTGAATTCCTGGAAGGAAGTGAGGAGCTACCAGAAATTATCTTTTAAAGGACACCTGGAGCAGGGGGGAAATTCTACAGAGTTGTGAAAGCAAAACTTTAGGAGAGCTGGGGGAAAGAAGCAGAGAAAATCAGCATTGTTGGCTCAGCTCTGCCCCCCTGCAGCCCCAAACTGAGAATCCAAGCTGGAAAATGGCTGGATGGGAAGTGACAAGAGCACGACCCCTCCCACGCTAATGATGATGGTCATGGGTACCACTACAAATGAAAAATACCTGGCAAAGCAAGGGCAGGAGAAGGAAAAGCCGAAGGACTTCACCGAAGCGAGCGCTCCCTGTTCATCTGCGGTGCCGAGGAACCGAGCTGAGCCCTGGATGTGTCACCAGAACACGTCCAAGGTCATCACCCCCCAGGATGAACCGTGGGCAATCAAGGGGAAACCCCTGAGAAAAGGTTTCTAACCAGGAGACTGAGGGGCTGCAGAGCTCAGTTCTTCCAGCACCATCCCTGGGGAGGGGAGATGAGGTGCTGGCCCCGAGACATTTTTAGGATGAGCAATTTTCTGCTCACGCAGCGAGCTGGGAGACCAGTCCACCAATTTCTGATCTTCCTGAGTCATAAACCTTCTGCACAGCACCCCACTGCACAGCACAAATCAGGGATCTCTGAGAAGACTGGGAATTTACTCAGAAAGTGGGCAGGCCCTGGCACAGGTTGCCCAGAGAAGCTGTGGCTGCCCCTGGATCCCTGGAAGTGTCCAAGGCCAGGTTGGACGGGGCTTGGAGCCACCTGGGCTGGTGGAAGGTGTCTGGGGGTGGGACTGGATGGGCTTTAAGGTCCCTCCCAATCCAAACCATTGTGGGATTCTGGGATTGCTGCCATGCCCTTCCCGCAGCTCCTCCTCTCCAAGGAAGGCTGCCCAGTGCTCCACAAGCCAGGACAAGCCCCATGCCTTGGACTCAGGCTGGAATCAGAGAGGTCCCTGCTGGCCCAAGCCAGAGCTCTCCCTGTCCCTGGCAGCACCCAGGAGTTATGTGCTGTCTCCATTACACGTGTAAGGCCGCAGCAATCCCAGGGATCTCTTCCAGGCGCAGGGATTTCTGCTCCCAGTATCCATGTGCCACAGCCACGCCATAGAAAGGCCCCTGCGCTTCCCACACGAGCCGGGGCCGCAGCGTGCACCCAGGATTTCTGCTCGGCAGGGCTCGGGGAGGGGCTGGGGAGTTTAAAAACCAGACCCTGCCCCAACCCTGCATCCCTGGGATCCCAGACCAGGAATAAAATCCTCCCTCCCTGCCCACGGAGCACAGTCCACCCAAAGAGCCTGCCCTGCCCGTCAGCGGCGTGTGACGAGTGACAATATTAGCCATGAGAACACTCATTACCACGGACGCGTTATTTATTTGTCTGCTCACTCAGAACGGACTGGGCGGGGGAGCCTTCCTTCAACATTTACAAGAAAGCAATTAGGGCAGCAAATGGATTATTTCTCTTTAAACCTATGAGAAAATGCTCAGTGCATATTTCCTCTCTAATTTGTCTGCACTCAAGGATCTATTTTTGGAAGTCTCCCTAGACTGTATTGTAGCACCACATGTACTGTAATGGCATTTTAATTAGCCCAGAGAGCTGGAAGATGCACTCTGCATCCCAAAGAGAAGCAGCCTAACAAAATGAGAGCATCCTTCCCTTCCCTTCTTGGAGATTTACAGCCTCTATCAACCCCAAATACCAATTAAGGCTGGAGCTGACTGTGACTGCTACAAACACCCAGCCCCAGCCTCTGGAACTCCAGCCCAAACCCAGGATTTGAGTACTGTTTACTCAGACTGTAAAGGTGGATGGTAAAAATAAAATGCTGCAGGC